TGTTATAGTTATTAATGCAAAGATCGAAGACTTTGATCACTGCTAGACGCTCTGCCAACTAAGCCACGAAATGAACCAGCGAACCTCTCGAATTTTTTTATGTCGGATCTTTGTATCTGGTTTTAATGACTTTCTAGCCGTACCGCCATCTATGAGAAATCTTTGAAAATATTTCGTCACCCAATTAGGCACCTTTACAGCTACCAGCCGCGGCTAGAGATGTTCGACCACCATGATATTCATTTTTTTGTGAAATTAATACACTAGTTTGATATAATTATTAATACAAAGATCGAACACTCAGAAAAAATTCCTTCAATCCGCCCGGATTCGAACTGACTTTTTTCAGCCTCATTGCACTGCAGTTTGCGTGCCAGCTCCAACCCTATACTGTAAGCCATTGTCAGTAGATGCAACTCGTCTTCTATGAAGCATAATTTGTATTTCCAGTGTGTTTTAATTTTTATTTATTTTTTTAGTATAGCTAACACAGTTTTTAGAATCAACATTGTTTACTAACAAAACTGGACTGTTTGTTGTCTGAAAAATACGATTTATTCTTATTATTATTACCTCAAAGCATAATGTTGAGATGTGAGAATGGAAACCGGAGTTAAAAGATGGAAAAGATAACTGGGACCGAACGGGAGACGCTCAGACGACAGGGCTCATCCTGGGATCTGAGAAATCTGAAACGCTCTTTCAGATACCTAGGGCTGGCTACATGCACATGAAGCTAAAGTAAATAAGATATTTTCTTCTCATTCAGATCGCTATCATATCCCATGGCCACCCATCCGGATGCGAGCTGGGCTACCCTCAAGTCCACTCCAGGATAATTAGTTACCGAACCTGGATCTTATCCAGGCTGTGAATATGGCAACACCGACGTGATTAAGCTATTGAAAATTGTGACATTGGTTAAAATAAACTAATTAAACTTCGACTTTATTTTATTCATGATTTCTTTATATAAAATACTATCACTTAACACTTCAATACAAGTATCGCTGAATTATTATTACCATTATTCATTATATAATTTAATTTAACGTGAGGTGTTTCAATGCAAGCCTAGATTTTAGGAGATGGGGAGTGGGGGACTGTCCCTCGTGTCCCGCAACCCGTGCGCTGACCATTAACATTGTAACTAACCTAATTTATACCAATAACTTTACTAATCAGATAGTTCTCTAAAAATCCGCTAGATTGACCACTTTTACTTAATTTCTGCACCGCGGTGTTAAGATTTTCCCTCGAATGATGACTACTTGAACCGAATGTTATTTTTGTGTGGCTAACTAACATCAGAACTGTCGATACATTTTATAGGAGTTGAGTCCTTGTGGAAACGACTGCCTGGACCCATCTGATAGTTACTTTTTTACTTTTTTGTATTTGTACGTGTAGTACCGCTCCCGCCGTTTACAATTAACTTGGCACATTGTATGATATAATTTTTGAAAATTAAACCTAAATCTGGACTGGAAGTTTTTTAGACTCCATTTGGTGACGTCATCGAGAAAGAAAAGAACTAGACATGGGGAAAAGCGTTACGTTTAGATCATCGCCACTACCGTTACAGTTACAAAAAAATCACTGTGACAAATCACCGTGATTTCGTCACGCCAGTCACTTACGTCACGGTAAATGGTTTTGGCAAGCGCTTCTACTTGATCGTCGGCGCGCGGGACATTTGATACCTGTCACTTTTCTAATCAGTTTGTACCTTTTTTTATTGTTTACATTACGGGCGGCGATAAGATACGTATAATATAAACACTTGAAACTCAAGAACCTATTAAGCTACCGTAAAAAGAATGACATGGGCGATAAGAGCACTTAAGTAGCTTTTGTTTAGACTATAGTTATGATTGTAATACGACGACTTTATTTGTTAATTTCTGAGTACACTGAACACTTCTGAGAAATTTTCATAGTATTTTACGCTTTAACTTCTAACCACTTTGTATATTCACTTTATTAAGAAACTATATATATAACGATGACAAGCATTTAAATACCTATCGGTTAATACTACATATGAAAATAATGTGTAACTATTTTTAAAATAAATTAATAACAGTCGCGGGTAGCGACGAAAATCGCGAAAATTTGCGAAAATGGTGTAAAAACACTGTAAGTAAGCGAGGAAGAAAATTGACGAATCCTATTACAACTCACACTGTAACGACCTAAATATGGTTTTAATATAACCTATATTGAATAAAGTTATATATTTGAGTGATGTTTTACTCCAAAAAGTATTTTAATAATGAATAAGTTTTTTCTTCCAAAAAGCAATCACTATGTGCAATGACCTCCACTTTGATGACCTTTTTTCCAATAAGATTGTGAATCCAATAAGATATCAAATGTTAAAGTTTTAACACCGTCTGATAAAGCGCATCCTGACGATCATTTTGATAGGTAATAATTACAGAAACTAATAAAAAATGTCATCCTATCACAATTAAAGTCTTCATCAAACACTAAACGTCAACAATCCCGCCAAATTTTTTTTCACATTTTTTTCTGTTACGCATCGTGCATATTTTTTTGCTTATACTAGGATATCGAGTATTTAACAGTGAAATACTAGTAAAAATTTGGTGTTAATACGTGTGGTAACACCAAAGTTATTTGTAAAACAGTTCACCAATCGGGTACTGTAATTTACTGGTAACTATAGCTACCGGTGACCAATAACTGTTCAGTGGAGGGCAAGCGGCTACTTTCCAATAGTCGTTATTAATAATCATTTTGATGTAACGTTTAGTTTCATTTGAAAATCGATCTGCAATAACCTTTAAATTTTTACGGTGTAAAGGTTGCCTGTCGCATTATTCGTTAATAAGACCATGCGGCATGTTTATTATTTTGGATTAAATTTTAAAAAATAATCTTATTTATATTTACAATGTTTTTACGGTACTTACACTGATCTAATTATTTATTTCTTAGTTCATAATTACAATTTAAAAATAACAGCGAACTACAATGAGTAGCGCAGTCGCCAGTCTTTTACACGAAGTTCGCGCATGATTTTGTTTGTAAAATATGTCGCATGTTGTGACGTGAGTGACGGTGACAGTTAGTGGAACGGAGGAACCTATGTGATTTTGGGACGTCGTTCCTCTGTAAAAAGTCACGGTGATATTATTTGACGACTGATCACTGTGATTTTTCTAAGTGACGTTATTTATCGCTCACCTCTAAAAAGAACCCCTCTACAATATGAATAAAATAAGAACAGGCGGAGAAAATTTGACACAGATCCGACGTTGACAAGATCCCGATGGCGACTGATGGGAACAAAAAAGTACAATGAGCTCTATTAAATGTTTCCATCGTCTAAGATAAGAAACAAAGTTTATTTGAATTTGTCTTTGCCAATTCCGCAAAGATGTCTAATTTGTTTCATGTGATTTGTCATTGTGAATAAAATAAGATACAATTTTTTTATATAAATTACTAAATTATGATATTAAAGATTGTCCGCCCTCCCTGTACCCAACTTTTTTTTATAATATTAAGTGACCGGATCAAAGATCGGGAAGAATGAAAATAAATCGCAAAGATCTGAGGGGCAGGATGAAGAAAAAAATTGTTTGCGTCATTTATATAGCGTCTGGTTTATTAAGTAAAAATACGTAGTTTTTAAATATTTTTTTGTTACACATGTATGTAAGTACACTACGTATTTTTATTTAATAAACCAGACGCTATATAAATGATTTTTTCTTCATCCTGTTGAGTTGTCAAAATTGACATAGTACCGGCTGCCAGTTCACAGTCGACAAGTCGACAAGTCCTATTTGCCCGTAATTTCACCAGCACCCTTACCCTTAAAAACCGGAACACAGTAAAGCTGACATTACTGCTTGGCGGCAGAAATGGGTGAGGTGGCAGTAGGTGCTTCACTAAACGAATTCTCTCACGTCACGTAGCCTGCGTAATTGCAAACCTTTTGCAATTGAACTAAGAAAAACCAATGCCGTCACTATGTCTCCGCTTTGCCCCAATTGAAATTACGGGCACATGGGACTTGTCAACTTACGCCCCAGGGTGACGAGCGCAGTGGCAGTGCCCCTCAAATCTTTGCGATTTAAGGCTCTGAGTGGCACAGCAACTGTTATGGACAATTGTGTAGCTTACTATCAGGTGCACTGTGTGGTCGTCGCATCACTTGATATTCTAAAAAAAATCAAAATTGTGAACTGGATCATTTTAAGTGATAAATATCACAGCTTTAGGTATGTTCTCCTGATACATTTTATTGGTGGCTGTTTTGCCTTATTTTCTCTACTTTTGCTATTTATTGTATAAAATTGTTGAATGGAAATTTGTTGGATTTCTTGTAAAGAAAATCATTCGATTGGTTTGAAAAATATTCTGTTAAATCATTGCGGTGACAACTGCGCTCCAATTGGCCAGCTCGAATTCGATGCAATTGGCGGGTGTCTTCAATTGTTTCACTTCAAAATGACCAGTTTAACTGGAGCTTTGCTATAATGAACGAAAATTGAAAAAGTACGTATTTAATATTTAATTAACGATGAAATGTAATTCCGTTTGTTTTGTAATTAGATGTTTTGCTGTTTTTCCCACACCACCAAATGGAACAGCTCCCATTGTTAGATATATTATCTTTATTACAACAAATACAGAATATTCTTGGAATATACGGAGACGTACTCACAGGTCAGTTGTTGGCGCTGCACCATTTTAGTTTTCTAATTTGTGGTTTCAGCGCAATCGAGAGTAGATGTTTAAAAGTGATATAAGGCCCATTTGCCTGATGGACCTTATTTCGTATCTATTTCTGGCTATGTACTCGATGATTTAAACAGCCTGGTAATACTCTCGTGCTTCCAAAATAATACCATTATGATGTGCATAGGTATATGTATTTACTAGATAAATGGTTTCTTTTAATATTCAACGTATCTGTTTGTGTTGAGTTGGTAAGCCTTATTAATTAAACAAATAAATAAAGGAAGTGGAAAATGTTATATTTTATTATCTAATTGTATAATTTACTATAACTTAGTCTTCTTTGATGATAGATTTATAACCTGCCCGCAATCCAGGAGCTATAGCTGGACACCCTGCTGTAGAGTTGAGGGTGACCCTGTTCACAGAATAACCTATCGACGTAGGAGACGATACCGATCTGGAAGGAGATAAAACATTAATTACATGATCTTTATTTCTGTAACCAAATTACACGTTATATTGTTAAACTCTACTGCTTATTCGTAAGGCAGATTCTCCTGAGCTAGAAACTCTAGGGGTTGCTCTTTGTAAATATAGAAGTACATTTGAATACATATATTATAACATTTCAATTCGAGTTACATTATCTATGGACGAATAGCTGGCAATCTGTTAAAAAAAATAACAAAAAGCCCGCCATTTGCAAAATTCGTAAACGTTTTGTTGTGAAGCGATATTTATTCATGTAATAAGCTTAGAATAATAACGCATAGGATGATAGTTTCATATCAAAGGAACTGTCACGTTAAGTGAGGCAAAAATCAAATTCATGTAGGCTAGTTTTAGTAGTAGGTTAATTTTCGGTTTTAGTGAATATTTATATAAAAATACAAGTTGAAACGCGTTACTTCCTTGTGGAATGTGGTGTTAGTATCTATTTTATGTTTGTCTGACGTATTTTTATACTCATTTACCGCACATTTCGTCATTTTTAGCTAAAATTCTTGATCTGTTCGCGGTGCTAGTTGACCTTGAGCACTGAAGGCCCGCCCGCTCGTGTAGGCCCATTGGGCGCGCTTCAATTTGCCTGACTTAGCGTGTGCGGACTAGGTTTATATGTGTTATTATTCTAAGGTAATAAGTAAATTATCATTATATTTGATTTTATTTTTAATTGGGACTTAAACACGTATAAAAACGCATATGACCTTTTTGACCCTGAATTCTTGGAGAATGAGATATCCGACGTTCAGAAGGTCCTTAGGTGGAACGGATACAGAATGAACAGACGGCAACCACGGCGGAAAGCCAAAGGGAAACGTCTAATAACGGACAAAATCGGTACAGTATTAAAATTGTACGCTTTAAAAACTGTTAGCCGTTATCTATGTCATGGCATGTCAGGTCAGATGTAATCCGCCTTCAATTTCCGGGCGTTTACAAGATTGATTGCAGTTGTGGGAGTTCCTATATTGGGCAGACGAAACGCACCATGGCGGAAAGAGTCACTGAACACATCGCGGCTGTTAGGAACCGTAAGCTCAATAAGTCTGCAACAACCGAACATTTGCTGGGATCAGAACCAAAGCACTGGATTGAGCATCACGACATCAACTATCGCCCGACAAGTCGCCGGATGTCATGAGCGTTGTATCGGTCTAGTGACAACCCTAGTGCACAAATAAATCTCATCCTCTTCAATCCCTTTGAGACCATGGGCGTTGCAACGTCCGAAACGTCGAGGTAATTAAAATGTTTTATACGCGATTAAGTCCCGAATTGAAAATCAAATAATGAGTGAAAATCGTGAAAGTTTAACTCAAAGTACCACTATATTATATAACTGCCTCGGTGGCCGAACGGTTACCATGCCGGACTGCCACGCAGAGGTCCCAGGTTCGATTCCCGGGCCGGGAGAAATATTTGTATGGCCTACATTTATTTCTCTCGTGAGTTTGGGTGTAATTTGTGGTTGTCTATGTGTGTGTCCATGGCACCCGCGACACAGGGTTTCCCTAGTGCGGGGCTATGTTGATTGTGAGCGTTATTATAATTATTATTATTTATTTCCTCGCAAATGTTATGAAATATGTAGAACTGGCGGTAAAAAATACAAACTCGAGTGATTAAAACCCTCAGCCTTCGGCTTCGGGCTTTTAAGGGACTCTCGTTAATAATATCTTATTTACTGCCCTTAATAAACAATGTATACTATACAAATAAACCCGCACAGTTGTAATTGGCTGTCAGTTTTATATTGTTATTTAATAATGTTTTTTGTGTTATGTTTTATCATGATGTTGGTGACAGTATCAATAAAATAAAAATAAAACTTACCAGACGTCTGTCGGCTACCAAAGGACCACCATGGTCTCTGTGGCACACAGAGCGGCCTCCGTAACCAGAAGTACAAATAATAGATTCAGAAAGTGAGCTGACTGAGGAATCCTCAGCACATTTTTCATTGGATATCACCTGGAGATATACGTAGTGGAGCTGCTGGTTACTAGAGATGCCTGCATCTGAAATTTTTGTACAAAAATTTTACTTTTTTTATGATACTCTGCCACCACGCAGTAATGTTGCGCACTACGTCCGATTGGTATCCGTTCGGAATCCGAGAAAAGACGGTCCGAAATGTCACAGGGATCATTTTATCTGTATTTTCCCGGAGTTGAATCGGATTTAGTGCACAAGCGACATCCAAACTGACGGTTACAAGTTACAGGGTGACTGGTGCAGTGCCCCTCAGACCTTTGCGATTTAAAGCTCTGAGTGGCACTACAACTGCTATAAACAGGCGGGTAAACTATTTTTTTAATTTATTTATTTGGGATAACTATATAACAATACTAATTTTAACATACGTAACAATTTGGATAGGCCAATTACAGTTATCCACTAAAATAATTACAGTAGTAGACGTAAAATATTACTTAAGAGAGCAAAAATAAAAATGGGAATGAATAAATTAAAATGAAATCAAATAATCCTGTCTCTGATAAAAGAAAAACAAACGAGAAAGTGAGAGAAAAAGAACATTAAAATAAGATAAATAGTCCATGAATATCAGTACATATTAAAAATACAGTAATACATACATATAATACATTAAACATATATACACAACACTATTATGTATTTAATATAGAAATATATAACGTCATACTATCATTTTGTAAGACTGCGAACCTTGAATATATTATGCAAATGACCAAATGACATTTGAGTTTTGACAACCATTGACTTATAAATAAATGGACGACGGGTCTAATACAATAACCACGAAAAAAATGTCACAAGTCAACCTATTTAAACGTAGTGACATGTAAAGGAATATGAAAAGGCTAAAACGTTGAATTTAAATTGTAATGTCATCGCAGTACTGTCTAATTTTGCTTGCTTCGCTGTCAGTCGAACAAACGAAGACTAAAGCGTGAATGACGCTCTGTATACGATTTTAACGCCCTATAAGTTCGGACACTTTTTATCGCGGACCCGACGTCCATATAATTGTAAGTCAATGAGTACAGCAGACTAATCATTTGATAGTTTTAATTTAACGTTTGTTTCGAAGCAGTGTTTAGAATCTACGAAGGGGTCAATATGTCCAAATTGGCTATTATACGTTCGAAGCATACGCGTGAGAACAGCATTTTTGCCGTAGTTCGTGGAAAGGAAGGGGACTTGAAAAAGTGTCGTATGTCTAGTGCGACGTAAAGGTACCCGTAGTGATACGCTCTCCAGCAATTCTGGTCAATTCAAACGTCCACGCACAATGTCATATAGAAGGCCCATGTCCAGCATGTCACGACGTTCTTCAAGAGTGAGGAGACCATAAGCGCGGCAGTCTTTGGTATAATTATTCGTAAAATGCTTACATTTATAGTTAAGGTGTTTGATTTTTTTTTAATACGTTCGATCCTATCACAAAGTTCAAAATTTTTTTATTCGAAACAACGTTTGTTCGAATTTTCATTACACCGAAAACCGAATTATAACGAAACAGTTGTTCTTTCAGGATATGTTGAATGTTTATCGCAAAGACACGATTAGGTCCGGTTGAGGTTTAAAAAAAAAAATTTTCCTCTCCAAATTACTTTCGAGGTTATTAAATTTTGACAATGAAATAAAAAAGGTTCATACTGTCTTCTTGACGTCCGAAGCCGATCGCTTGCGCACGCGCATTCTCATACAGATTGTTTCCAGATGCCATGGCTACAGGATGAATGTCGACTGTAAGAAAAATTTAATAGTACTGTATATTATAAATAGTACAACGTTGGCTTATTTGAAAACAATAAAAATATATTTTTACAAAGTTTTTATTAAAAAAACCGCTCTCAAAAGTTTTCTTCTCAGCTGTTACAGCGTTCGTTACATTTTTTTACATAGTTTTTTTTAAATCGGTTAACAGAACTTGAACCAAACCCAATAAACTGGATTGATCCTGTAATTTACCACCCTTATAGGTGAAATATTTTCTTTAAACTTCAGAGGTACCCCCTAGTTTACTAGGGGATGAATCCGGTTTCGCTTTCCACGCACTTTTGAATTCGGCAAAAAAATACATAAAAAGTTATTATAGTTAACATTTTCATAATTATACTCCGTCCAACCATTTATATAACTTTTGACAGCTCGAATTCTAATCAATTAGTGATGTCCTAATGCGTTTCCGATTCGATTTTTTCGAAAAAGAAAAAAAAACAAAAGGTTCAAAAAAGAAGAGAATATTTTCTGATTGGGATCGCGATTGTGTACTCAAGAATGAATAATTAATCTTAATGAGGATTCACGTGATGATTCTCGTTCATATGAAGAAGAATCCGACATTTCATTCTAATAAATAATAAGAATTTATTATAATTATTCATAGTTGATTTAACTTCATTATAATTTATTAGACACGTACCAAAATTTATCAACTTGAACAATCTTTGTTACATAGTGTTGGCTCGATAAATATCAGAGCTCAAGAGCATATCGCTTCACTAAAATTAAAAAATAAAAGAGTCCAGGAAGTATCACATTTTTTTCTCCATGATTGTATGTCAATAATTACGGAACTTCGGAGGCATGCATGTGTCAAAAGTTAAATAAATGGTTCGACGGAGTATAACGGAATTGGAATACGTAGAACAACTTACGGGTATATCTGACGTGTTCGTGAGTGATAACGGCCACGTTGTGCAGGGGAAAGTCTGGGTCCCAATCAGGATGCATTACCACCTGAACAGAGAGCATCAAATAAGCGTCAACTTGTATTAATAAAAAAAAAATTCGCAATATATAAGACTTGATACTACCTCAGCTAGAATTCAAATTTTTCCCGTAGTGAATTGATTCTATTGCGCGGGTCGAGCGGCAGGTACACTGGCCTTATTTCAGAATTGATTGTTTTTACAAACGAAACCATTTGAACCAATTCAAAAATGTATATCGTATAGTACACAAAGTATATTGAGAGAAAAACGCCATGAATTGGAGAAATAGCAAAATCAACCATTAAAGTAATTGCTCCTAAATTAAAGTTAGGCGCTATTTATAAAAATGAATCTTCATGTGTGAACAGCCACCCTTCGAGGTGGATGATTTTCTTCAAAATGGTTTGGGACCACTATGGAAGTACCCCCTTTCCAACAAAAAAAAAATCATGAAAATCGGTTCACAAATACCGGAGTTATCGCGTAACATACATACAAAAAAAGGAACATACAGTCGAATACAGAACCTGAGGCTGTTTTTTGTAATACCAAGGTATTACAAAAAACAGCCTCGCCCAGTGCCACTTCATTACATTAGTAAGCGATAAATTAAACAATCAAACTCACGTCACTTGTGTTAATCCTGGTACCACCAGTGAAGATAGTAAGGGATCCGTAAACAACGGTGAGCTCACTACCTCGCAATAATCCGTCCCACCAGCAAGAAGCGGCAGTGACCGCACGGGTGTTTGTAAGCATCGAGGCCCCGCAGACTGAAGTCACACTGGTAACAATCAGGTTTATTCTAATGAGTAGACCACCCTGAAAAGAAATCGACATGTAGTTCAAACTGTATTTTTCCGACTAGATGGTAGCTGGATGATCTGAAAGAACCAGGAGTTAGAGTCCACTATTATCGGAGAAATCAAGTCGGTAAGATTCCGTTGCCTCGGATACCTCGAAAGGACGCCAGGTCATAGGGCGATGAAAAGAGCCTGAGACGTCCTAGTGTTTGATGAGCGGTTGGTCGGCCCAAATATCAATGGAAGGATGAAGTGGAGAAAGACTTCCGCGCCCTGCACGCAGAGAACTGAGAGGAGATCACATAAGACAGGGCGCGCTGGCGCCAAGTCGTATCTGAGGTCAAGACTCACTTCGGATCGCTGAATCAGCAAAGTAAAGCAAGTATATTAGTTATGCAAGGCAGCAAAGTTGTTGACGCAAGTGCTTGTATTGAAACCTGAGCAAGCGAAGGATTCTGAGGGTCGTATTCTAGAACTCTACTCAATGCTCAAGTCAGGACTTGAGCAGACTTGAGTATGATTTCAAGCACTGGAAATACGACCCTAACGGCAAGGACTTGAGTATGATTTTCAGTGCTCACTGCAATACTCAAGTTCTGACTTGAGTATTGAGTACCCTAAGACTGAACAGAATCTTGAGCGTAACGAGTTTTAAGACACGAGACGCATAACAGCTTTGCTGCCGAGCAAAACACTCAACTTTTCACCTCACTATAGCGAGGAAAATGGTAGATGAAAGAAAAACAGTTGAACTATAACAAATCTGTTTTAATAAACGAAATTAGTTATCGTTGTCAATTTAATGTCAACAATAATAAGAATAAAATGTACCAACGGATTTATATTACATAAATAGTGTACGAGAAATAGCGTAGTTGAACGTGTCATGTTTTTTTTTTCATCGAAAGAAAATGTTAGGTGCACCATAATAAATCGTCAAATTCGAATTTTAAAACCCGCTTTTTCCACGCTAGCGTGGAAAAAACGGTTTTGCGGGCAAATTTCTAATGAGAAACCTTTCCGAGCTAGTGAGATGAAAAATCGTTTTTCCTCTATCCACTTTAGACTGTTGTACCTAACGAAGCGACGTACGTATGCCGTCGGTATGTTGAATTGTACGCATAGGGAAAATTTCTAACTCTTTTTTTACTGGATTATCAGTCTTCCGATTGAATAGTAAAATTTGTATAATATTGATGATTTCGATAAATGAAATTGAATCTAATATTGAGATTAAATTCTAAAAAAAAATTAAACAAAGAAGAAAAGCTAAAGAAAAGTAACAACGGCATCAGCCGTAATAATGTAATTCTCACCATGTACGGGAATTGGCCTAAGGCTGCGTTAGAGCCTCCGACGATTCTGTCGCCGGAGAAGTCAGTCGCTTCTTCAGCTGCTTTGATACGGGCAGCCTCTTTGATGCCGATGGTCTCATGGTAATACCTGACAACAAATCATGGTTACATTATAACATGGGCAACGAAATCTTTTGTCTTCTTACCTTACCTGCAAATAATTTTAAAGAAGATAAAAGGAAAGATAATTTCTCAACTCTTTTTTTTCACACATTGGGAATTTCACACACATAACTAAATTGCAATGTAGATGTGTACAGCTTTCTACATGATGTTTTCCTTATACAAGAACAACCTTGCACCGATCACAATCGAAATAAATAATAAAAAATAGAAACAATTTGAGCAGCAGTAGAGCTTATTGTAAAAGAGTCCAGGGAAGTAATGCCACCTTACCTATTTCTGCCGCCAAGAAGTAATGTCAGCATTACTGTGTTCCGGTTTTGAAAGGTAAGGGTGTTGGCGAAATTATAGGCACAGGGGCACTGGCACAGCGCCCGACGCCCTGATACATAAATTGACAAGTCCCATGTGCCTGTGATTTCACTAGCACCCTTAGCCTTGAGGTGTGTAACCCCTATGCCACAGTGGCCTCAAACCTCTCTTTAGATGAGCAGATGGTGATGATGTGACTCGGCAGAATAAACGTATCAACATGAATATTTAAGAAATGTTTTCGCTTACCTTTTGCCGTTGGCATATTTGTCTTCTGCGGGCAGCACCGCTGCCGCCGTTACTCCTGCCAAAACCAAAACCAGGAAGAATTTCATCGTGACGCTAATTCGAATGCATACCCATCACATCGTTCCTATTTATATGATAATTGCTTATCTAAATTATTTCACTTATCAATGTTCCAAGATGCTATCAGATTTTGCGGATATAATTACTCATTTGTTTTCTTTCAAATATGATTACTGTGTAGTAGTTGTTTCATCTGACTTTACTTCATAAATAGGTTCTACAGGGCGTTAGATTGTGACCTCCTTTGTTCGTCATCCCACCTTTTTATCGCCTTCTCTAGTTTCTGGCCGCTAGTTTTCAAATTTTGAATCGTACGTTATTAATCAAATTTTTTAGGTGTTTATTTAACGGTCTTTATTCTTTCTTCGTTATTGTCTAAAGAAAGTGCTAATTCGTTACATTTATTTATTTATTTAATTTATTTATTTTAAACACTAAGAATATTACAAAAATATATATACATCACACCCTTAAACCTACATTGGTTTGTCCGGGTGCTGCACGTTCTCGGTGTACTTTACTCGATCATATAAAATCCCGAAAACGGGATAAATGAAAGTCTGAAATGTATTGACTCATCCGAAGAACAGAGTCTGATGTGATTATAAAGCGAAAATATGATAAATACATAATCTCATTATTCAAAATAAGATTGG